GAAGAATCAAAGCAAAAAATGCAAGAAATGGTAGAAAAAACAAAGCAAAAAATGAAAAAAATGGAGGAAGAAACAAACCAAAAAAGGCAGGAAATGGAAGAAGAAACAAAGCACAAAATGCGAGAAATGGAACAAAAAACAAACCAAAAAATGCAAGAAATGGAAAAAAGCCAGAAGGTCCTGGATAGATATTCTACCTACACTAAGAGACCACGGATGCCAGTCCAGACTACTATACCCGGCAAAGCTCTCAATCACTATAGACGGAGAAAACAAGATATTCCATGACAAAACTAGATTCAAGCAATATGTGTCCACTAACCCAGCCCTACAGAAAATTTTGGAAGGAAAACTCCAACCCAAGGAAGCTAACTACAACCAGAAAAACATAAGCATTAGAGAATCTCTCTCTACCAACAGCCAAAAGAACAAAGGGGTGAAATTCCACACATAATTCCACCAACAACAACCATCACAAATCGAAGAAGGATGAGCAATCATTGGTCATTAATATCCCTCAATATTAATGGCCTTAACTCACCCATAAAAAGACACAGACTAGCAGATTGGATTCGAAGACAGAACCCTTCCTTCTGCTGCATACAGGAAACACACCTCACCCTTAAAGACAGACATTACCTGAGAATTAAAGGTTGGGAAAAAATTTTTCAATCGAATGGACCCAAGAAACAAGCCGGGGTAGCAATCCTAATATCTAACAAACTAGACTTTAAAATAAAATCAATCAAAAGAGATGAAGGAGGTCATTACATACTCATCACAGGTGAAACCCTCCAAGAGGAAGTGTCTATTCTGAACATCTATGCCCCAAATACAAAGGCATCCACATTCGTTAAAAAAACATTATTAGAACTTAAATCTCATCTAAAGCCCCACACAGTTATAGTGGGAGATTTCAACACACCACTCTCACCACTAGACAGGAATACCAAACAGAAACTCAACAAAGAAGCAAAAGGGCTAATAGAAGTAATGACCCAACTGGGATTAACAGATATCTATAGAACATTTCATCCACATAAAAAAGAATATACCTTCTTCTCACCACCACATGGAACCTTCTCAAAAATCGACCACATACTTGGCAACATATCAAACCTCAGCAGCTACAAAAAAATGGGAATAACTCCATGCATCTTATCAGACCACCATGCTTTAAAATTAGAATTCAACAACAACACAAATTGCAGAAAACCTACAAACTCATGGAAATTGAATAATGCTCAACTGCACCATCCCTGGGTCAAAGAGGAAATAAAAAAAGAAATTAAAGACTTCCTCGAATTCAATGAGAATGAAGACACAACATACCCAAACCTATGGGACACTTTGAAAGCAGTGCTACGGGGGAAGTTCATAGCGCTAAATGCTCACATGAAGAAACAGGAGAACAGTTATACCAGAGAATTAACATCACAGCTGAAAGCTCTAGAACACAAAGAAGCACACTCCCCCAGGAGGAGTAGACGCCAGGAAATAATCAAATTGAGGGCTGAAATCAATAAAGTAGAAACCAGGAAAACAATACAAAGAAACAACGCAACGAAGAGTTGGTTCTTTGAGAAAATCAACAAGATAGACAAACCTTTGTCCAAACTTAGCAAACAGCAGAGAGTGAACACGCAAATTAACAAAATTATAAATGAAAAGGGGGACATAACAACAGACTCTGAGGAAATCCAGAGAATCATTAGGTCATACTTTGAAAACCTGTACTCCACAAAATTCGAAAATTTAAAGGAAATGGATGACTTCCTGGACAGCTATCAATTGCCAAAACTAAATCAAGAACAGATAAGCAATTTAAATAGACCTATAACCCCTATGGAAATAGAAGCTGTCATCAAAAGTCTCCCAATCAAAAAAAAGCCCAGGTCCAGATGGCCTCAGTGCAGAATTCTACCAGAAATTCAAAGAACAGCTTATACCAATTCTTCTCAAAGTGTTCCACACAATAGAAGCAGAAGGGTCTTTGCCAAACTCTTTCTATGAGGCTTCAATAACCTTGATCCCCAAGCCACACAAAGATACAACTAAGAAAGAGAACTTCAGACCAATATCCCTCATGAACATTGATGCAAAAATACTCAATAAAATACTGGCAAATTGGATCCAAGAACACATCAAAACAATCATTCACCACGATCAAGTAGGTTTCATCCCAGGAATGCAGGGATGGTTCAACATACGAAAATCCATCAACGTAATCCACCATATAAACAAGCTGAAAAACAAAAAATCACATGATCATCTCACTAGATGCTGAAAAAGCCTTTGACAAAATCCAACACCCCTTCATGATAAAGGTCTTGGAGAGATCTGGGATAACAGGGACATACTTAAACATAATAAAAGCTATATACAGTAAACCAACAGCCAACATCAAACTAAATGGACAGAAACTCAATGCAATTCCTCTAAAATCAGGAACAAAACAATGCTGTCCACTCTCTCCATACCTTTTCAACATGGTACTTGAAGTCCTAGCTATTGCCATACGACAACAAAGGGGGATTAAGGGGATACAAATTGGGAAGGAAGAGGTCAAACTTTCACTGTTTGCAGACGATATGATAGTTTACATCAATGACCCAAAGAACTCTACCAGGAAACTCTTACAGCTGATTAACACTTTCAGCAAAGTGGCAGGCTACAAGATCAACTCAAGAAAATCAGTAGCCCTACTATATACAGATGATAAAAGGGCCGAGAGAGAAATCAGAGAAACATCACCCTTTACAATTGCCACAAACAACATAAAATACCTTGGGGTAACGCTAACCAAACAAGTGAAAGACCTGTATCATAAGAACTTTGAATCTTTAAAGAAAGAAATTAAAGAAGCCCTCAGAAAATGGAAAGATCTCCCATGCTCTTGGATAGGTAGGATCAATGTAGTAAAAATGGCAATCCTGCCAAAAGCAATCTACAGATTCAATGCAATCCCCATTAAAATCCCAGCACAGTTCTTCACAGACCTTGAAAGAACAATAATCAATTTTGTATGGAAAAACAAAAGACCCAGGATAGCCAAAACAACCCTGTTCAACAAGGCAACGTCTGGAGGCATCACCATCCCTGACCTCAAGCTCTATTATAGAGCTATAGTCCTGAAAACAGCTTGGTATTGGCACAAAAATAGACAGGTAGACCAATGGAATCGAATTGAAAACCCGGGTATTAACCCACACACGTACGAACATCTGATCTTTGACAAAGAAGCTAAAAATATACAATGGAATAAAGAAAGCATCTTCAACAAATGGTGCTGGCATAATTGGAGACTGGCATGTAGAAGAATGCAGATCGATCCATGTCTATCGCCATGCACAAAACTTAAGTCCAAATGGATCAAAGACCTCAACATCAATCCAGCCACACTGAACCTCTTAGAAGAGAAAGTGCGTGGTACCCTTGAACGAATTGGTACAGGAGACAGCTTCCTGAACATAACACCAGTAGCACAGGCAGTAAGATCAACAATTAATAAATGGGACCTACTGAAACTGAGAAGCTTCTGTAAGGCAAAGGACACAGTCAGCAAGACAAAAAGGCAGCCCACAGAATGGGAAAAAATATTCACTAATCCCACATCTGACAGAGGGTTGATCTCCAAAATTTACAAAGAACTCAAGAAGCAAGTCTCCAAAACACCAAAGGACCCTATTAAAAATTGGGCTGCAGAACTAAATAGAGAGTTTTCAATAGAGGAGTCTAAAATGGCTGAGAGGCACTTGAGAAAGTGCTCAACATCCTTAGCCATCCGGGGAATGCAAATCAAAACTACTCTCAGATACCATCTCACTCCTGTCAGAATGGCTAAAATCAAAAACACCAATGACAATTTATGCTGGAGAGGATGTGGCAAAAGGGGGACACTCCTCCATTGCTGGTGGGAGTGCCAACTGGTTCAGCCACTTTGGAAATCAGTGTGGAGATTCCTCAGAAAAATGGGAATAAACCTACCACAAGACCCAGCAACTCCACTCTTAGGCATATATCCAAAAGATGCCCATTCATACAACAAAGAGGTCTGTTCCACTATGTTCATAGCAGCTTTATTTGTAATTGCCAGAACGTGGAAGCAACCTAGATGTCCCTCACCCGAAGAGTGGATAGAGAAAATGTGGTACATCTACACAATGGAGTACTATTCAGCAGAAAAAAATAATGGAATCATGAGATTCGCAGGCAAATGGATGACACTAGAAGAAACCATCCTGAGTGAGGTAATCCAGTCACAAAAAGAGAAACATGGCATGTACTCTCTCATATATGGATTTTAGACATAGATCTGGGGAGTGCCAGCCTACAATCCTATGGCCAGAGAGTCTGGGAAACAGAAACTTTATTTAGTGGCTGATCGAAGAAGAGGCAGACTCCCTTGGTTAAGTACTGAGCTGAACTCAAGAAAGCCAGTAACAGAGAGGGAGGACTGATGATCAAAGGGATTAAGACTGGGCTGGTTTAACCCCCAGAAACAGCTGACCAGACAAAGGTTAACTCTTGAATCCCAGGCATTAGCCTGGGAAGCCAGCATGGGACTGATCAAGACCCCCTGAATCTGGGTGTCAGTGAAGAGGCCTAGGGAATCTATTGAGCCTTGGGCAGCAGATCAGTACCCATCCCAAGTATACACACGGACTTTGGACTCCAATAGAACAATGTGAGGTGCACTCTCACCCAGAACTCTTGGGAAAGGGTCTAGGCCCTGCCCTATATGAAATGACACACTATGGACACCCCCATGGAGGGCCTCACCCTCCCTGGAGAAATGAGAGGATAACGGGGGGGGGCGGAGGGGAGGGCACGGGAGGAAGGGAGGGAATGGGAGAGGGACCTGGAACTGACTTGTGAAGCAACCTTGATTCTTATCTAAATTTAAACTGGAAAATAAAATTTAAAAAAAAATAAAAAATAAAAAAAAATTCAAATTAAAAAAAAATGTGTGAGTCCTGACTTACCAGCCTCAGTTAGGTCTAATATATTTTCCTTAAAAATTCCCTGCTTCTTGCATGGATCCCGAAATTTTTCTTGATGTTTGAACTCAACTTTGGTTTCTGGCCTGTGAAAAATAATGGTGACAGTAGTGATTGCATCTTGTGTATTGACCACATTCACAGAGCTGAATAATGAATGGGACAGGGCCCCTCCAGAAGGATGAGAAAATGATTGACAACACGATTATCAGGCATGGACATGACCTGCCATGAATTTGGCATCCATAGGATATCTTACTGGCATAGTGAGGGATTTCAGAGACCTCCACCCCCACCACTGTGCCTGGGGGATGACAGAGGTGACCATTTGTCTGCAGTAGGTAAGGGAAAACGAGGCAGTTTGGGGCCAGGCTGGAAAAACCATGTTAAACCTAGGGTTTCTTTCTTCTCTTCTTCTCCCATCCCATGACCAGTGTCTGTGGGAAAATACTCTACTGTAGAGCTTCATCAACTGGAATGTTTCCCCATTCTTGATATGTCTGAGATGAGTTATAATATAATCAGCATAGTCTGTATCAAGTACAGTAAATCTATTATATCCGTTATCTGTGGAAGAAATGGTACACAACTGAGAAATTCTTTGGTTCACAGAAAATAATTGAAACCTTTTACCTATTCTATATCATGGGTAAAAATTAAAATGCATATTCTAATATAGATTGGTGAAAATGTCTGGTGCTTTCTATCTATACTTCTTTGGACATCGTGAGGTAACCACTAGTAAACAAGTAGTCACAGCAGCCACTCTCCTCTCTAAATCTTGTCTACTTCAATCAGCAGCTTCCATTGATCTCTATCTGTCTTTCATAAGCTCACTGTATTATGTACCTGCTGCTGCATCCTGAGTGATATGAACTGGTGGTATCCACTGGGGCAGAATCAGACAGATGTAAGGAGATGAGAAACCATCTTACCTTACTTGTCCCACCTGCCCAAGACTGGGATGCTAGTTATTAGTTCGCTCCTGTTGCATTAGCTAAATAAACAATGATCAGGAAGCAACTGAGAGTCAGAAGAGGGTTGTGGTTGTGGTTCAGTTGTGGAGAGTTTGATTAGTATGTATAAGACCTTGATTTCAATTCCCAACAATAAGGCAAATGTGCTCACACAGACACACCCACCCACAATAGAGACATTAGGGTTTACTAAGTTCCTTATGGATAGATATGTAGACTTTTTGTATACTTACATATGATATATACACCATCTTCTTCTGTTTTGTCACATACTAAATACAGCTCTGTGCACTCTCCGTCGACACTGTGAAATACAGTCAGCTGGTTCTTAAGGATACTGCTATGGCTACCCAAATCTCCCATTTCTAATTCCACTTAACTTTTGAATGTTTTTGTAAAATGAGCAAAGTCATTCATTTGTATTATTTCACTTATACTTGATACTTTACTAATCACATATTTGCTTATCATTTAGAAAAAGAATGACAATCACTTCAAATCACTGTCACAACTATCACTACTTCCCATTGTCACTCACTTGTGCAGATTATCACCCAGATGTCCACCATCTGCATCAAATTAGTGCTTTCAAATGTTGCCCAATATACCTCTCCAATCCACAGAGGAGAATTAATACCCCCTTTAATGCAGTTGAAGGGGTGGAATTTCGTGGCTAACAACTAGTCAGAAATATTTAACTCATGATAATCTCCATTTAAGCTGTGCTGTACATCTCATTCATTATGGTTTCAGAAATGCTTCTGAACTTTGCGTATTAAATCCCCAGTAAATTTGTTCCTGTCACCAATGTTATTCTCTGACTTTTGAAAAAGCCCCAGTTTTGAAATCTTGGTTTAGTATCTCTCTCTCTCTCTCAGTGTGTGTATGTGTGTCTCTGTGTCTGTGTCTGTATGTGTACAAGTACATGCAATGAGGGGCATATGTTTCTTTGTGCATATGTGTGTGTGTGTGTGTGCTTGTGCGTGTGTGTCTGTGTGTGTGTGTGTGTGTGTGTAGGCCTGAGACCATTACAGGTTTCCAATTCTTCTTTCTCAGATAAGAACACCTCACTTACATGGTATGTAATTTAAGAGCTAAGGAAGAGTTATTGAGGAGATGAATGTACTCTACAAAATCTCTCATGCTTCCATGTTCCTCTATCATTTCTCTTTTGTCAGAGGCCAAAAGAATGGAATGCCATTTTCCCTGAATCTGTAATAGATAAGTGAATTGTTAAGAAAGGAGGGGCAGGGACACTTCATGGACATGTTTCCACTAGAACTCTGACCCATGGGCCTGGGCATTAGCATACACAGGATTAGATCTCACATCAGTTGGCAAAATACTTAAGATCCTGTCTGTCTCTATGCACACCCCCATGGAGGGCCTCACCCTCCCTGGGGAAATGAGGGGATAACGGGGGGGGGGCGGGAGGGCTCGGGAGGAAGGGAGGGAATGGGAGAGGGACCTGGAACTGACTTGTGAAGCAACCTTGTTTCTTATCCAAATTTAAACTGGAAAATAAAATAAAAAAAAAGAATAAACAGAGGAACAGCTCACTCTAAAAAAAAAAAAAAAAAAAAAAAAGATCCTGTCTGTCTCTCAGTGGGAGTGAGGGACTGCAGGCATTGTTAGATATGGATACCATGCGGCTGGTCTTGTTTCACAGTCTGAAGCCTCTATTTGTCTCACAGAGAGGAGCCACAACCCTCCCCTCAAAGGCCCCACTTGGCTTCAGAGTTGCCAGGAGCATCCTCTGGGTCAGACATCCCGAAGCCCCACGAGTCTACCTTTTGTGGATTAAAGTTCTTTCCAATGAGACTAGTTTTTGCTTCTGCATGGACACAGACTAGGGTCAGCTCCAAACCCAGCACAACCAGAAGTAGCAGCAGCTTCATTTTGGATGGAATAGAATTGTCTCTCCATCAGGACTGAGTCTTTCCTGGTGGTAGCTGCACTCCACTCTCCAGCTGCTTTGTAGTTATACATTTTCTGAGTTCAATTTTTTAAACGGTGGATCTCCTCCTCCTTTTCTCACTCTCTGTGAAATGTTTCCTCACTTATTGATGTGAGGCCAAGAATTGCTCCTCCCCTCTTTAAAGGTGGCAGTCTCATCTCCCATGGATTGATTTGGTAACCTTACATTTCTCAAAACATAATCTCAAGAAAAACAGTGGATGCCTTAGAGAGCTGCCATTTGGTACCTTACAGATTTAACTTTGGATCTGACTTGGAATCAGAAAGCCAATCATGTGTGTGTGTGGGGGGGTGGAGCTGAAATGGGAGACCAAGGGGGCAGAGCATCTTTGCTCTAAGTCTCCTGTGGAGTGTAGAAGTAGATATATTAATCATTTCTAAAATACATTTTTATTTTATTTTTCATGAATGTTAGTTTTGAATATGTGTCTGTTCACTGTTGCGTGCCTGGTGCTGTCGAGGTCAGAAGAGGGAGTCAGATCCCTTGAAACATGTTCTTGAGGAGTATGCAGACCTCCAAGGACCAGCCTCAATTTCCCTCCAAGTACCAGCCTCAACTTCCCTTCAAGGCAGGATGCTAAACACCAAGCATGGGGGCTGGCTAAAAGGATCTGAGGGTGAACGAATCAGCTCATAGATATATTCTACTCATGTCTCTTTATTTTTCAAAAAGTTCTTTCTGATCCCACAAGGTGTCCAGTTTATATACTGACACAATTAGCAGTTCTCTGGAACTAGCAAAGATACCAGACATGCATTTCTCAGAGCCTGAAAACAAATAAGATCTGACAATGTCTGTGTCTTATGTCTCAGAGAGGGATTGACTTTTAAAACAAATATCTGGACAAAACTTAAGAGGCAGGAAGTGTTAATGGAGTCAGGGGCTATGATTTCTAAAAGGGGAGATGGGTTTTAGTACATAAACTACATTTGTGTGGCTAGTTAAACTAGAAGTTTGTAATTGGTAAATGTAGACAAAGTGAAGAAAACATGGCAGTCCGTGCACTCTCTGAGCACCTTCTTCTGCTTCCTTCTGTGGAGGCTGGGAACACAGTTTCACAGTAACCATGGCAACTGGCATAATCTATGGGAGGAAAATGGACCCTGGATCCACATTAGCATTTTTGACAGGTATTATCGCAATCACCCAGAACTAGATAAAACACTGCTGGTGTTTTGTGGGACAAAATCTATTATGGTAATGGGGAGCACTGTAGTTTCACAAGGGTTTTATAGAAGTGATAGTGACTATACAAAAGGCAGGAATCACCAAAGCTCTGCCAATTGGATTTCCTACAATGGAATTCATGATGATCCTGGTGGTTCAGCCACATGATTTTGTCAACTGATATATCCCAGTATAATGCTGTGGCCTGAAACAAGGGAGACCCCAGGTTCAGTTCCCAACACCCACATGGCAACTGACTGTAACTTCAATTAAAGGGGCCTCCTGCCCACATGTGGTACATATAAATTCATGTAGGCACACACACATAAAAATAATAAATCTTTTAAAAACTTTTAAAGACTATCAAGAGAGGATTTCCTGAGGCTAAGCTGACAGACCCTGAAAGCCTCTCAACCTTTGTTCAGAGAACACCAACACCAGAATCCAAACTGCTAAGGTAATAGTCAAGTTGCATCAGCAGTTTTTAAACTTAGAGACAACTGGACTTCAACAAACAAGGCATAATCTCATCATTAAAGAAAAACAATATTTTTCAAAGTCATATTTGCTGACAGAGTTCCAAGCATAAATTATGCCAAGAGTCTGCTTACAAAGGCATAGTTTAATGGGAACATGTTTCTTTATCAGTACAAATTTCATTTACCCTGTAATGTGAAACATAAAATTGTGTTTGTTTTGAGGAGATAACAAACTCTAGAAAGAAGCAGGTACTTAGGTTTTATCTTATTTCAATATTGTATAATATGGTATATATAATTTTGTTCATTGTGCCATAGTATGAATTAAAACTGAGAAAGATTAAGTTATAGTGATATATTTTTATGATCTAATAAAGTTTTCCTGGATCATAATATAAATCTAGTCACAGTCATAAAGCCCAGGAGGTAGTGTTATACATCTTTAATCACAGCAGTCATACCAGTTAGCCATAGAAGCTGTGCAGTGGTGGTGTATGCCTTTAATCTCAGCACTAGAGAGGTAAATAAGACAGAAGTGTCTCAGAGCATGCATTTAGTCTCCAGCAACAATGAGGACAGCATCCCCCTTCCCGCCATGGTAGAGATAAGGGCTTTCTGGTGGCTTGGCTGCTTTGTTTCACCGATCTTCAGCTTGAACCCCAATATCTGTCTCTAGGATTATACTCTTCTTGTTACATTAAGTAACTGTACATGGTCATGCAGCCATTCAGTGGGAGAATTCAGTTTTAAATACAATAACCCAGGAGGTTCTGTTCTTATTAACCCCCCTACAACCCAGTCAAAATGTTTTTAACATGAGTAGAGGATTTTTAAACAGAGAAAGAGGAATAAACAATGATGTATACCTCCTGAGGTATCTGCCTGGCAGGCACACTGAAGAAATTGGCATGGATTTCTTTCAACTATGGAACTATGGGTGTAGCTCAGGATGGAGTGAGTAAGGGGTGACTACAGCTCTCTCCTTGTCTACTAGTATTTGATGGATGAGCTGGTAAATGATTGATTTGGGGATTAGTGCTTTTTTGTGTCATTTATATTTTTGTTGTGGCATATGAGTTACTCTGCATTTCAGATATTTATATTGCAAATCACAACAATAACAAAATGACAGTTATGAAGTAGCAACAACATAGTTATTTTGGTTGGAGGTCACTATAACTTGAAGAATTTTATTAAGGGTTGCAGGATTAGGAAGTATGAGAGTCATTGTGCTAGGAGATCATGAAGGAAATTACTAGAACATACTAGAGAGAGATCATGTTAGCTTACTACCAACATGACTGAAATGAGAGACATTTAGAGAGAAACTACATGGTATTTAGCAAGTGTGAAAGTTCAGGATCAATTTGTAATTTTCTCTCTCTTTACATAGAAAAATGTAGAGTTATTGTGATAAACACTATGACCAAAGAAGCTTGTGGAGGAAATGATTGTCATCCATCATGAAGGGAAGTCAGGGACAGGAAGTCAGTTTGAGAATCTGGAGTCAGGATCTAAAGCAGAGGCCATAGAGGAGCATTGCTTTCTGGTTTGTTCCCTGTAGATTGTGAGCCTGACTTCTATGACTCAGGACCACCTGCTCAGGTGGCACTTCCATAGTGAGTTGGGCCTTCCTGAATCATTTTCAAGAAAGAGACCTAGAGGGTTGTCTCCAGGCCAATTTAATAGAGGCATTTTCTGATTTGATGTTTCCTTTTTCCAAATAACTCTGACTTGTATCAAGTTGAAACTAAAACAAAAAATTAACCAGGACTGTTATTAATGAAGGTAAAACAAATAAATTCTACAGGAGAAACAGAATAAAAATAAGCCGTTCTGCCAGTGCTCTGAGAGCTGATGTCGGTATCCCTGTGTACAGGATGGTTTAAGGTGATGTGTACACTGTAGACTTACATGAACGGATGCTGGATTAATGAGAGTTGGTGCTAGAAAGCACATACAGAACAAAGGTTTGATCCTTTGTGATCTAGGCCAGACTTGCTTGTATCTTTCTTGTCCTCTTCTTTCCTTATTATTTATACTATATGTCTTTTCATGAATAGTTTTATGAATTTTGTTCAGAACTTTCCTCCTTGCAATATCTGTATCATAATTCATAAAACTATTCATGATAAGATTATATATGTACATATATTTACATACATATGTTTACATCTGTCATTTTATAGATAAAAATGAATTGTGTTGGCAGTTCATCTAGTTCAATTGAATGGTACTGATGTGATTGTTGACATTAATTCTTTTTTACCCAAAGCATAATTACTGGTTTTAAATCATAGAATTTAAAAATACTTTAGCCATGATAGTGAAAGTGAAACATGAAAAACTAGATGGTTAAAGATGTGCTTAAGAGCCTGGCGAGGCCTCCGTGCCAATAGTGTATGCAAAGATGCTCCAAGAGGAAGGTTATGTTCCTAGAATCCACATCAGGCAACTCACAACCACCTGTGACCCCAGTTCTGGGAAATCTGACCCCTTTTCACTCCTCTACATGCACCTGCACACACTCACACACTCAGTGGTCACACACACACACACACACACACACACACAAATGAATTTAAAAAACTGAAAACAGTAACAAAAGAAATAGTAAAATTTAGATTATTACATGTGCCTCTGTAGGTTATATGGCAATTCTTGGCTTTGTCTTTCATCATTCATTTGATAAACATCATTTTATGTTTGAGAATTGGTTTTCTGAAGAGAAAGGTCAGTTTTGATGTTGACGCTTTGATTTTATTTAGAGGCAAAGGAAATTTAAATAGTTTTTTTAATGACTACAGATAATGGACCTCCTTGAGATACATATGTAAAAAAGAATCCTATCTTTAAACATACTCTTTCAAAATCTAGTGTCAGACATTTATTTATTATAAAACAATGAAGTAAGTTTTATTGAGCAGAGATGCACCAATTGCTGTGACATTCATTGTTAAATAACTGTGTTGCTCAGCTTAATTGCATACAGTTTAATCTATCAAATAAGCAATAAAATTGTAGCTAGATATATAAAAACATGAACATGGCTGGTCAAATGCTACTGACAAACCAAACAAGGATTTAAGAAAGGGCCCATTTGACTTAACACTGGAGATAAAGGGAAGACCCAGCAAACCCGCCATGATCTCTGTATTTATGAATCCTGTTAGGTTCATCCACAGATGAAAGACTAAGGATCTTAACAAATTTCCTAGGGCCATCTGGACTCCGATTATGCTCAAGAAATTAGAAACGGTTGTTCTCTGACTGC